AGAAGAAATATATATATGGAGATATGTATATATATACGTACATACGGAGAGAGAGAGAGAAGGGAGAGAGAGAGAGAGAGAGAAACAGAAATGTATGCATACTACAGGAAATGAAAGAGTATGATTTTTCAACAGATGGTTTTACCCTCTTATGGAGGACCCTAGTGGATGTCATAAACCAAAGAAAATCCACTACACTGCTGACCCTTAGAGAACAAATTGAAAATGCATGTGCCACAATCTCAATGACCGAGGTTATGCAAGCAGCAGTTTGACATAGTATCAATGTCTGGAAGCCAATGTCGAGCACTTTGATTATCTCTTATAATTGTAGAGGCCAAAGGTAACTTATACTAATCTCATGATATCTCAATAGGTTTAGTATTAAAATATTTCTACAAGATTTTCTTTTCTTGAAATGTGTGTAATTGAAGTTTTAAGGAAAACTAGAAATCAACAACAGAACCAAACTATGTTAAGAAGGGCAAGGTAGTTGAAATCCACATGAGCCAAAATGAAAAGGTGGAGAGAAGAAGGTGACATGCAGTTGACCTCCAGGTGAGAGAATCAACCAAAGTAAAGTTCTTCATCTCTCAGGGTTGCTCCCTATGGATTTGCACTGCCCTGTAATTGCATGATTGCATGAGACTAAACATGTTGATTAATGAGAAGGTGTGGATATTGAAGCCCAAGGGCCAGAGAGACTACAAATAGTCTACCTGTGGCTGTGCCCCACAGCCTCCACCAGTTCCGAAGGCAGCAGCCCTGACCAGGCTCAGTGACCAGCATTTCTGCACAAGAGCCATTCTGCATATTTCTGCACCGCAACAAGCATTTCTGCTTCTCTATCTTTCTGTGTTCTCTGAGAACAGAGCTTCCATTTATGTCCCTCACACACAGCCAAGTTCTACATTTCCTTCCTCGGTGGTGGCACCCAGGTAATCTGAAGTTTGCTTCTTTAAATTTTGTCAATAGTGCAGGTGTTTGTCTATCAGTCCCTGCTGGGGGGTAGGAAATGAGACATGAAGAACATGAGCAGAGCTCAGTCAGTTGTGTGGCATTTACCTAGTTGTCATCATCTTTAGATGTTTGCCTCTTTTTTGCAGGAAGCAAAACTGGAGCACTTTTCATTCTCCTTATGTCTAACTCTGACCCGCATCCAGGGATATTTCTACTCTAACAGTAATCTTCTGTTGCTCACCTTGCAGGATATTCTCTAATTCTCTGTCCTATATTTGGCAATGTGCAAAGGTATAGGGGCAGCTCTTCTTACTGTTCCCTTCCCTGCCTCATTATAGGGCACATCCTTGGCTGACACTTTTCCTGGTTCATGAGTATTTCAGAAGACAGTAGGTGGAGAGGAAAGCAGATCCCAATATACATTAGCCTGGATGTTAGTGTATGAAATACTGACAATGTAAAAGGCAGAACAGCTCAGAAAAAAACCAGAACAAATAAACCCATATTCTTGTATCTAGAATTATCCAGTGTTGATATTTTGCAAGCAGAGTCTTTCCCTTTAAAGAAGAAAATGCATAAACTTAACAGTTATGTTCCCCTGCATTTTCCATCTTTTTGCAAAAATAATATTCAATTTAATCCTTCTTCAGATGTCCCTTTACTTTTTACAGATTACACAATGTTAAATGACAGTATGAGTACGTCCATAAATGCATATATGGTGTACATATATATATGTATATACATAATGTACTGATATATAATGTGATGTAGTAAGGCATTAGTATAAAGCAAATTCATTAATGTATCATACAAAACAGTATTAAAACTAAAAACTGATTAAATATACTGTTTTTGACCAATGAAACAATGCCCTGTATAATATATAAAGTTTTGATATTTGAAACAAGAAAGTGATTTGCCTCATATGCAAAAACTTTAGAACAAGTTTACCTGAAAGTAGACTAATGAGTAGTAGTTACTGGGAGAAATTTGGAAGGTAAGGGTAGAAGAACAGTGTGTACCTTTGATCAGTACATTTTGTATGCATGTATGAAATTTCACACTAAGCCCCACTAATATACACAAAGCTTACACATTCAATTTTTAAAGTAAAAAAGAAAGGAAAACAAGAACATCATTTATAGATAGAATCCCAGTATTGAAAGTATAGAGGGATCATCAATATGAAATTCAGTGTGATTAGTGGTTGCACAGGGAAGGGGAAACATGATCCTCGTCAAATTACAGAAGTATGAATATGCATTCTCTAATTTCTTTAACAATATATAATGTAAACATGGTGATATAATGTCAATTAATGGTGCATGGTGCACATTCAGGTCTCTATTGCTTTTGATATCCTTTTTGAATACTTGAAATATTTTATAAGAAATTAATAATTTAACATCAGTGATATTTCTGAACATTTATATTTTATCATGCTCTAAATGCCTTGTTATGTAATTAAATTTGCTTTAGATGTTTATTATTTTTGTGGCTACGTCTAGGTCTGCTTTATTTTCTTTTTCCTTTTTTCTTTGCTTTGTGGCTTCAGTACTGGGTATCAAACTCAGGACATTGCAGTTGCCAGGCAGGCATAGCTTCACTGAGCGACATCCTGGCCCTTAGGTCTCCTTTATTTATTCTAGTTGCTAGGGAATTTATTGAATGCACATAGAAATATAGATGAATATCATTGATGTTCACTTGAATGTTCACTTGATGAATATCATTGATTGTTCACTTTTCTTCCTGCTTTATAAATTCAAGATTCCCCATTGGAATTTCAGTACACTGCTTCTTTTCTCAAATATGTGGTCATCAAGCAAAAGGGTTTTTCTTCAAATGTGTTCTATGTGCCTTCTATTTCTATATTTTCCCTTAACATCGCTTCCTTTTTGTTAGCAATTTTAGCAGGCAGTTCATTTGTATTCATGACAGAATCAGGTAATAATAGAACTATTAACTCCTCATCGGTGAAATATTATTCTGAAATAGTTTGTGTTCTCATTCTCATGCCTGCAACATTCCAATAACGTTTTTCAGTGGTTTCCTCATTACACAAGTGAGGACACTGTGGCTTCTCATAGAGTTTAAAAATTTTTCTGATTTACAAAGAAGCACTGGAGTAAGTCTTTCTCAGTTAAAATTTTGATTGAAGTGGTCATTGTTGATTTATATTTAGTATAGATTTTTTAGTTTTCTTGCAAATTTAAGTCTTTGGCAAATACTCAAGAGAAAAGCCATATATATTGCTTCATATTGGGTTCCTATTAGGTAATACAAGATTTTCGGTAACTAAAATTTGTATAATCAGTGTGGATGGCAGAAAAGGTGATAAATGAGAGATAAGAAGAAGGTAGAAAGATTAGTAATATTTACTTCACTTTACAATGTATCTATGTTTTCCAAAAGGATGGATATAGTCTTTGTTTCATGTCCTGGGTTTTCCCATTAGCCTCTTCAAATTATGGAAACAGAAAACCACACAAGGGTAGCAGAATTTCTACTTCTGGGTCTCTCAGAGGATCCAGACCTGCAACCCATTCTGTTTGGACTGTTCCTGTCCATGTACCTGGTCACAATGCTTGGGAACCTGCTCATCATCCTGGCCGTCAGCTGTGACTCCCACCTCCACACCCCCATGTACTTCTTCCTCTCCAACTTGTCCTTCACTGACATCTGCTTCATCTCCACTACCATCCCAAAGATGATTATAGATATCCAGACACAGCATAAAACCATCAGTTACAAAGGCTGCCTCACCCAGATTTGCTTTGTCCTGGGTTTTGGTGGACTGGAAAACTTTCTGCTTGGAATGATGGCCTATGACCGTTATGTGGCCATCTGCAATCCTCTCAGGTACACAGTCATCATGAATCCCCATCTGTGTCTCGTACTGATTGTACTGTCATTGTCCGTCAACATTGTGGATGCGCTGCTTCACAGTCTGATGGTGCTGCGGCTGTCCTTCTGCACAGACCTGACAATCCCACACTTCTTCTGTGATCTTTCCCAGGTCATAAAACTTGCATGTTCAGACACCTTCATCAATAACATCGTGTTGTATATGGTGGCTGGCATGTTGGGTGCTGTTTCTCTCATCGGCATTATTTTCTCTTATGTTAAAATTTTCTCATCCATCCTGAGAATGCCTTCAACTAGAGCAAAGTATAAAGCTTTTTCTACCTGTGGATCACATCTCTCAGTTGTCTCCTTGTTCTATGGGACAAGTTTTGGGGTGTATGCTGGGTCTGAATTTACTGGCTCATCTAGCAGTTCTGCAGTAGCTTCACTGATGTACACTGTGGTCCCTCCACTGATGAATCCCTTTCTCTACAGCCTGAGGAACAGAGATGTGAAGGAAGCCTTGAAGAAACTCACCAGACCACCTCCTTTTCTGAGATTGTCTCTTGTGCTTTGAGTTTGAACTTCCAGAATGAAAAACAATATAGGAGCTCTGAGTGAGACAATATAATAGACACCTCCACAAGCAGGTTCATAGGCTTCAAATTTAGATGCCATAATGGTGAAGGATGTTTCAACTTACATTAAAAACTGACTTTATTGTTCTGTAGCACTGTAACTTGTGAAAATTCATGTTGAATTTCTTAGCTTGATTTCCTGGTCATTTTGCATCAAAGCAAGAACATGAGCAAATGATTCTTTCTGTACCAATGAGGGGTCCATCTCAGGAGAATGTTAGTTACAGCAAGACCATGGGACAAAGTGGGGAGCTAAATAAGAGTTTCACTATGGGTAAAGAACCAGCCTCAAACTATTGATAGTGCCATGTAATTTTCCAGAATTCTTCTTACCAGAATAACTTTTAACTCCACCTCCCATGTGTAGATTTGCCACTTGGTTCACAACAATGTATTGTCCTGACAGGCTTCTACTCTGTTGAGGGAAACCTGAAAGTAGAAGAATACATTAACATGTGAATTCACAAGTTATCAGATGCTTGCATAAGATACCTCTTAAGTTCTCTTCATCTATCAGAAGCTATGTGACAATTTGATACTGAAAGGAAAAACTTTAAGTTATCTGTATGGTTTGGTTTTCATCAAAAATAAACAACAAAAGTTTTAGTTACCATGTTATGAAGATGTGTTTGCTTGTCTCTGTGTTTGTGCCCACATGTTTGTGCTTGTTGTGGGAGAGGGGTTGATCCTTTTTGTTCCATTGTACTGCAATTATGAACCAATATGTCATATAGGAAATAAACGTTTAAAAAATCTTGTTGGTGTATGCTTGGAATGCCTAATAATTGCTTTCAACTCCTACATATACATATCAAATCTTCACCATTTTTATTTCTCCTCCTTTGCTCAGATCCCCTTCCCATCTGCACAGTTTCTACTTCCCTTTTTCCTAGCAAATCTTTTATAAATAATTATGTACTGCAAAATATATGAATAATTATTTGCTACATGGATATATGTGTGCTTGTTAGACAATGCTTTAAATTTTGTTTACATCTCTCTAGGGTATTTGTAAATATTATGTTCCTTGATGCTACAAATATTACATTTCTTCATGAAAGTCTCTGTCATTGAGCTGGGGATGTGGCACAGTGGTAAAACAGTTGTCTACCATGGGAAATACCCTGGTTTCATTCAGGTACTATGATGATGATGATGATGATGATGATGATGATGATGATGATGATGATG